GTTCATCCATCCATTGCTCTTCTGCAAGAAAGGTTCAGACAGTTGGAGAGAGCCAAGGAGATGAGGCAGGAGAAAGAGCTCTTACGGATGTTGCCTGAATCAAGGTAGATCAATGCAGCTATATCTTAGTGCCATCTAGATCGCTTTTCCACCCTGAACTCATGCTTTCACAGCTGCCTCTTCGGTGTACCCTCGAAAGAGAAGCCAGTATGCAGAGCAGGAATACCCAGGTTCAGGCCATTCAGTCTCCACTATTGGAGCATTTATGGTCCAGAGACATTGTCATATGCACAACTTACCATGATGATATCTCAGATGTTGATACTTCGCTTCATCTGTGAAAAAGTATTACAATGTTAGTCTACCTAGTAATCCTATGGTTTCCTTCCGTTTCTTCTTCACGGGGCAATAAGAATACGAGAAGGAAAAGGAGCTAAAGAAAAAGAAAACAGAATATGCAATGTAGCTAATGGCCATTATCCTATGTATCTTCAGAACTACATAGTTATCAGAAAGGCAATTCTCTTATCTCTTCTGAAATGCATTCTCATCATAGGTAATGTTATCCAATTTGTCACCGTTCCCTTTCCTCTTCGTGATTTTGGGAATCAATCGAGTTACATCTTTGGCCTCTGACATTGCTTCCCCGTTGTTTATCTACTCAGAACGAACAGCACTAACATTTCGGGCATTTGCAGCCAATATCTGCACCAGGGACAACATTTCACTCATATTAATCAGTAATTCAATTGTGTGCTCAAGATTTAGCATTATTAGCCTATATGGTTATCACATGAATAATTTATTTTCCAGAAAAAATGTTTAAACTTGAATGTTATACAAGAACAAAGCATATGAATTATTATTATTAGTTGCTAAGTTTCATTTAGCAAACTGAGCCACCAAATGAAGCATCTCATAGGATGAACAATATACAAGCAGATTCCTATATGAACAAATGCATGCCCCCATAATAGCATTGATTTCAAAAAGTTATATGTGGAAGAGAGTCAAGAGACTGCATGATTGCTAGCAACATTCATTTTCTTAGTTTTTTTACTACATCCCATTTGGTTCTTTTACCCTACCTTAAGTCTATATATTTGATGCCTTTCCATCAAATCTTGATGATCAGATCCATCTTCATCATGCTTATCATCATCATCTTGATTATCCCTTTTGAGGACAACTTTGATGCTCTCACCAGCCCCAGCTAGGGATGTATCCAAATACTTCGCATACAAAACCAGATACTGTCTCATACTGATGTTCCTATAGAACA